ATTCTCTAAATCTGTTAAGGGACCTTCGCTGGATGGAAAACTCCCATAAAGTCTGAGTGATTGACTTGTCATTGTAAAGGATGAGCAGAAGAAGAAGAAGAAGAAGAAGAAGTTTAAAAAAACAAATAAAAAAAAACAAACAAACAAAAGCTGCTGAGCCTAGCAATTAGTGGTTTTGTCATGTAATTGGTAGTCAGGGGAGGAGTGGAAACACATTCAATTTCGCAAGGAGCAGGAACAATACAAAACATTCCTGCATTAGAGCGGATAAACTTAAACTACAGCCTAAGTCACAACTGTATCAAATGACAGGGACTTCGTCAGTTCAGTTTAAAACCAATAAAACTGCAATGCACCAACATTCAACATGTTTTAAATCCTGACATGTCAAAGGAAGAGTTGTTTCCGATGTGGTCCTTGAGAGTAAATATAATTCAGTGTGTTGCAAGGCCTCCATTTTTAAGAAGTCCTCACTTGTGGTTGAAAGCAGCTTTGTCATGCTTTCTGACCTGACCCAGTTAGTCAAACACAGGTTTATTTAGACACCAAACACTTCAACAAACGCTTCATTCCAACCATGGCACCATCGATCTGACACTCAAGTATATTTTTTACTGTCATTTAAGGCCTCGCCACTGTGGCTTTCCTTTTGGACACACACTGCTCACTTGTACTTTGCAGTTTGCTACTCTGCTGCCAACCACATGAGTAGACTAGCAGAACAAAATCAGGCCTTTGAATTACTTATAAGGAGGAAGAAGGAGTTAATGTGTCAATGAAGCTGCTGTGCAGTTTTACAGATATCTTTGTTTTATTTGGTGTAGCTATTTTGAAGAGAAATGTTTCGATAGAGGGGGCCGAGGGAAGAAAGCAGAGTTGTGTTTGTGTTCATTTAGTGGTTAAAACCACTTAAGGGCTTTGTATGTAGTTTCTAAAATATCTGAATGGACTCGTTCAGGTCAGGTGTGTGTTGGTGCAGAGGTAATTTTATGGGTAATCATCAGGGGCGAGCTGAGACTTTGTATTACCATCTTGTCATCTTATAGAACATCAGAACTGTTTATGTTCCTACAATTCTATATGCCTCTGAGCTTGGGAGACTGGAAAACACAAACAAATACACAGAAACAAACACTGGATACTCTCATAAATGCACGCTGGTCAAACTAAGAACAAATCTGCCTCTATAGTATCTGAGAGAGCGATCTTAAGTTTTCTTCTGACCAGGCCTGATCCCAGTGACCTGAGAAACCAAATATTCATCCACATCCTTAAAGGGTTAAAGGGTCACCCACATTACAAACAAACCAGCACGTAAATGCCATGAAGGTAGCTTTGTAGCTGGGCCAAGCTACTTTCATGAAACCAGAAGACCAGACCTACATGAATTGCTGGACAAATATGAGATATGGGCAGTGATTCAAAGATGTGGAACCAGGCTACCTCCAATATGTGTGTGTATGAGACAATGTGTGCCCTGGATACTCACAGACCTCACTGTGATCATCTCAAAATCTTTACTAAATAAAACAGATAAAATAATCTGCGTGGATAGATACCACTAAAGGTTAGTGAGACAAATGTTTTGGCATTCTGGGTGAATAGCCCCTTTAATTCAGACACAAATCACTCTGACAACTATTTACTGACTACCTCAGTATACTCAGACCTGTGTAGTAAAATGTGTATGTATGCAGGAGCCACATTTCTTAATACAGAGCAGGATACAACCAATCAAAGTGTGCCCCAAAATGAAAAAGGCAACCTGACCGCAGTCAGTGAGTCCCTTTTCATGTTTCAGCAGGGGATGAAGCTAAAACACATTGTTCTCACTGAGTAAAGCAAACCAAGGCTTTTTGCTAATTCATACGACCTTATGTGGACTCACAGAGAGTGTAAGTGAGGAGGAGAGGCAGGAAAAGGGGAGGAAGAAAGTGAGCTTGTGGCTGTGTATCTGCTCTGTTCAGGCACTCTGACATTTCTGCTGCCAGGCTAAAAGTAGTGCTGCTTTAGTCATAATTCAGCGAGCTACAGCACAGCAGCAAAAGACTGACAAACTAGAGTAAACAGGCCGTATACAACCTTTTATGCAGAGATGACGGCAACTAGACTTCTGATAGACTCCCTTTTTATTACAGTAACTCTGAAGTTAGTGACACATGTAAGTTATGCTTATAGCTGTAGTAATACAAAGTGTGATGTCTGGTACTTGCTTTATGGCCGCTATCTTTCACTGAATATTTTATTTTATGCATTTTACAGCCATTTCTACTCTGCCAACACCCTCAGAACATTCTTACATGACATAGTGGTTCAATATAGGAATGGCGATGTTGGTTAGTAGCTTGTGTTCAAACGGAAATATCTCAGCACTTCTTGTAAAATATATTACATACTGTACATTCATGGTGTCACTAGCGATCCCCTGACTTTTCATTTAGCGCCACCAGCAGCTCAAACATTTCTGTTTTCCAGTGAAATATCTCAATCTACAATACTGATTGGCGCATAAAGTGGTACAGGCATTCATGGTTACAGATGTTGTACATAATGACTTTGGTGAGCCGACACAAAGTTGAATTCTGTAGTTTTGAGTGAATATTTCAACAAATATTGGTTGGAACTCCGTGATGTCTCCTACAGACATTCATGTCCTCCACAGGATGAACTGTATTGATTTTGATGGTCGCTTAACTTTTTATTAAGCACCATCATCGGGTCAGATTCTTTTGTCCAATACAATGATTTATGTCCAGATACCTGCAAAGCTGATGACATTCCCATCAGCCTCAGCTGTAATTTATGTTTAGTGCTAATTAGCAAATTTGTTGTGAGCAGTTCAGTTCAAGAGCAGCAGTTAAATCGCAAAACAAATATGTGAAGATTCAAGTCAGTGAGTTTGTCTTCAATCTAATTTTGTTAAAAAGTCATGAGAAAATAATAATGTGAATCCTGTATCGTGAATTGTATCAAATCATGAGTTGAGTGTATCGTTACATCCCTATTCACAAGTGATTTTTCTTGGTTTCATTGTATCTGAATAATTTTTAGAAGCCTGAAGATATAAAACTACTCACTATTTTACAAGAGAGAAAACTCCAAAAAATAACCACATTTTCTGTAATGATCTGGTGACCTCTTATATTTATCTTGTGAGCCCTTAAAGGGTTCAGAGCCCCAGGTTTAGGAAACACTGCATAACACTGCTGCAAAGTCACAAATCCCACACTTGAAGCTGAATTCATTCAACACTGAATTCTAATTTTGTGGCCCAAGATTTGCAAATCCAAAACTAATGATGAAACTAATGATTTAGAAAGAAATAGGCCACTCGAATACATTTGCATTCAGCAGCAATAAGAATAAATATTAAACACAAAACACACGGTATAATTTCTATCACTAATCCAAAGAGCTAATTAGAACAGAAAATATAAGTGATCCATATTCTGCAACCTTCAGCTGTGTCTCTGAATAAACACAGTGATGCCTGCTGGCCAACCTCTACATTAATCTGTGCACTGTGATTGGCTGGTTTGTCTCAGCTGCTGCGAACCTCCTGGCTGCGTTCAAAGGGAACGTCACATTACCATCGGTGTATCTCAGTCAGAAGTGGGTCAGTGGAGGCATTAACATACATTACACACCAAATGATGCAATATCTCGGAATATCCCCCCCGCTCACTGTCCACTCATCACCAGTGGAGCTGCTGCGGAGCACTTAGAGCCTGCATGGAGCTTAAATATGTCTTAAAATGTATGTAAGTACACTAGTGTCAATATGTTCAATGCTCAGTTTGTGTGCAATTAAACTGTTTTAGAGCTGTTTAAAATATAATACAAAGCAAAGCACTTGAGCATGTGTGTGTGTGTGTTTCAAAGGGGGTGGGGGGTGGGGATTTATCAGAGTTAAAGGAATAGGTCGACATTTGGGGAAATACACTTATTTGGCAGTGGGTTAGATGAGAAGTGACACCACTATCATGTCTGTCCAGCAGCCGGTTAGCTTAGCTTAGCATAAAGACTGGGAACAGGTGTAAGTAATGTAGTTGTCAGATGGAATGAAAAAAATAATTCTGCATTGTTTTTTGTCCATCAAGAGTCCAAATGCAGTGCTAAATTGGTGGAGTACTCCTTTAAGCACAAAAAGCATTACACTGTATTATACACAGAGTGATACGTGAAGTGCTTAGCCATCTATGAAGCATCATTATCCTTAACGGTTTTGCCAGAATCCTGGTCAGAGATTGTTTTTAAAATGGCTGCAAAAAAATAAAAAGAATATTCACTGTTTATACAACCTGACAATATTTTCTCTTTTTCTTCTACCTATGAATAATCATCAGTCAGGTCCTGCTGTAATTCTTCTGCTCATCACTTTCCCAGGATCCAACTGAACGCAAGTTATGATTACAGCTGGTTTTGAAATAAAAACACTCACACAAAGTACAAGTTGAAAAGATTTTCATGTGGTGCATAATGCTTGGTTAAAAACATCTGCCTGTTATACAAGAACGCCCACACTGCAGAGGGCATGGCTCCTCTCGGCTTTCTAAAAAGGGTAAAAGTTGAAAAATCAATAAACAAACTCTGCACAGAGCTCCTGCAAGAGGCAGCTGTAAACAAAAAGGATCAAGTTCTCATTAGAAGAGGATTCATTGGACTGACTAATTATTACAATCATTGCATGTAATAACCACTGAATATGATTTAAACTAGTGGCATACTCTTCACTAAGATAAATCAGTTTTTAAGCATTGGTGTGAAACACAGTCTACTCAACCATGTAGCAACAACTCCACCTACACAGCTGAAGACATCCCTCTGGGACACCCTTCAGCCAGCACTTTTACCCTCTTCCTAACCCCGATCACAACCACAAGCCACAAACCAACCGGTCTGACCTTGCTGTAATCTTCGAGCAGCCGGTTCAGCCCTGCATCCCACCTGTAAACCCACGCCTGCTTTCACACTTTACAACTGACCCCTGGCGAGCCTACCGTCCTCGTAGAAGACATCCTCCGCTTCCTCACGCATCATCTCATCCAGGTCATCCTCTGCAATGTCGGTCATAGCCATCACTACTCCTTTTCTTCTTTTTCTTCTTCTTCTTCTTCTTCTTCCTCTCTCCCCCTCGTCTCCCTTGGCTGACTAATCGGAGCTTCAGAGAGAGTGACTGGGCTGTAAAATTGAATCAACACCGGCTCGGCCTCTTCGCTTCAGGCGCCAGTCCGATCACTGGCAGGCTCCTCGCTCGAGTAGCAGGGACTGGGACTGAGCTGAGCTTCAGCTCTCTGCACGAGGATGTGTGTGTGAGTGTGTGAGTGCCAGGTGAAGTGTGTGTGTGTATGTGTGTGGGTGAGAGAGAGGACTCCAAGCGACCTTCACTAAGTTTCAGCAACAGTACTGATTTCATAACATCCTGTGCAAAGCTGAAGTGAGAGTGTGCTGTTTGGAGAGCACTTGTATGAGTAAGTGTGCGCATGTGTGTGTGTACTGTACGGGGAGGGTCAGTGGTGTGTGCATGTGTCTGTGTGTGTCCATATGCACAGTATGGCTCTCTACAGTGAGTCAGCTCGGGTGGTTGGTGATTAACAGGAATAATTATATTCTGTATTTTGAGCTAGCAAGGACATGCAAAAAAAAAGTGAGAAAATGTGTGTTTGTGTGTACATGGCATGTGTGTGATATGTGGGGCTAGCTATACTTGTCATTCCTTCACAGCTCACTAGGAATCATGGGACTACACTGATTGCTCCCTCTATTTTTTCACTTGGCCCACATTGAAGGGGCCTCAGCAGAGCTGATAACGTCTGGCGTCGTCTGCTGCTGCTGAAAGTCTCCATGGTGCTGCTCAGGGTAAACACACTCACCTGCTCTGAAGAAGACAGATTCAGACATTGTGGGAAGCTCTTGTTTGTACCTTTCTCATAATCATAGTTTGTTTTCATTTGGGACTTTTGCATTGATGATGATGTTTTAGGCACAGAACTGTAGTAAGCATCTGTGTTTTTGAGACATAAATGTGAGTCAGATTTTTGAACGACACTGCAGATTGTTTGACACCGCTTAATGCAGTTTTAAAGATATTTCCAGAATCCTTAAACTTAAAAAGATATTTCAATTGCTGCACAAGAGAGACTTTTAACAGGTTTCCCAAACTCCCAAGTTTTCTGTTCAGGACCTTGTGTTGAAATTGCTTTTGTGAATGGTTTCCCATAATTTATTCCTAGTAATGTATTCATATTTTTTGTGTTTAAAAAAAAATTATAAATTGCAATCCAAGCCATTGTCGACTTTCGTAGATTAACTCTTCTGGATCTGGAAATTTTCATGAATCTTGTCAAACAACCTGCAAGGGTTTTAAAGATTGGCTTATATTATCCTTCAGAAAATGTTATGCTTGCAAAAGTCTCAAAATGAAAAAACAAGGATTATCTAGGAGGCAAACTGTTGATATGTTGCTCCATAAGGTTAGGAATGATCATGTTAGCAGCTCTGTGTAGCACTTTAAGCTAAATGCTAACACACTCATAATTACAATTTCACTCAGCAGTTATAATGTTTATAATCACTGTCTCAGTTTATGTACCATCTCAGCTAATTAGCACTAAAGACAAAGTTGAGTTAAAGTGTAACTGAGGCTGATGGGAAATGTCATCCATTTTGCAGGATTCTGGTCATAATTCAAATTTGACCTGATGGATAATTGAACGCATGTACACATTTTCATGTCAATCCATCCAACACATCATTGAAGCAAAGTGATCACCAGAGCCACGCCGCTAGCTTGGCTAAAAACTGGGTCAAACTTGTGAACCATGCTAACTGTTGTCATGTGTTATGACAAACTTTCCTGTCAGTCATGGACGACTACTTTATGACTTTGAAAAAGTTTTGCACCATCCACAGGAGGCCCCTTACCAATGCCTCTCAAGCATTTTATCCCAAATCACTGGTAGCATGGAGTCTTGTCTCTCCTGGACCTCTAATTTATTACGAGATGAAAAAGTTAAAAAAGAAAAAACACCCAGACAGAATATCCTCCTCTTTCTCACTCCATGCCTCCATCTGTCTCAGTTTCTCTGACTCACATCCCATTTACACAAACCAATTCCCAACCAAAATAGAAACTAGGCCTCAAGTCAATTCATTATCACTTTTCCTTCAGACTTCCTCTCCCTTGCCACTGCCTCCCTTTAAGGCCAAAGCTCAAGGGAACGGACTCGGAGACAAACTCATTTTCACTGAGGCTAGTCCAGACAATTCGCATACACCACATCTATCAGGAGGCGGGATGTGTTGTGTCACTAGATATGAAGCACTTCTTTTGTGCACCGAAAGTTGTTTTGTGTAATTTGCTGGGTTAATAGCGATGCTTACAAGTTTATAGGATGGGAGGATTTCTTATTTGTCTGAGGTCATTGAGGAGGACGGCGTGAGAAACAGACTACAGTTAGGTGTTGGTGTTAGAGAGACAGTGTGTGCGTGTCTGTTTAAATGTTATCCATCAGTCCGAACCAGGAACCAAAACTGTGACTGTGGCCAAAACTAGAAGCAAAAATAGGGACTCTGAACTGCTTTGGTCACCACAACCCAAAACACTCACACAAATCAGTCTATAAACTACCAAAAGCTACTGTTATAAGTGTAGTCTAAGTGTAAGTAGTAAATTGCATTAAACATTTTTTTTTACTTCAGTATGTACAAAGTGAACACGTCACCATTCATACTACCATGTGCATTTATTTGGACTGTCTTCAGTTAAAAGGACCTGTATGTAGGATTAGGTGCCATCTAACGGAGAACACAGCTCGGGTCTGTATTTGTTGACAACCTGGGAATGAATGGATGTTTAGTTTTATCCATTCTGGGCTACTGTAGAAACAATGTAGTACAGTAAGTGGTGCAAGAGCCTCTTGGAACGACAGAAGGAGAATCATGCAAACTAGAGCAGAAATGTAAGAACTAAATCTATTAATCCTTTTAAGACATTTGTAACACAACAAGGCTATACGCTCGTTCCAGGTCCTCCAGTGGAAGGATTAACTGTTTTTGTCTTATTTATATGACTGCAGACTGACTGTCTTTACGTTTTGGACTGTTTGTCAGACAAAACAAGCAACTTGTAGTTGACACCCTAAAACTGTGATGGGAATTTTTTGGTGTTTTCTGACATATCATCAACTAAATGATTGAAAAAGTTATTTGTCAGTTAGCTGCAGCATTAATTCAGACACATATTCTCACACTTACAGACACGTCTTTTGTATGTTTCACACAGTGAGCAGGGTGGGATACAGCTGTTTGAAACACCCTGCTGACAGTATGGAAAGAAACAGTGTTAATAAATGTGCCTGATCCAAAGTGAGACGTGGCAGAGAGCAGTATATGCATCTCAAAATCACTTTCACAGAAATCACACAAGCTATTAAGGCAATCATACAGCCTCTTTAAATAAAGTGAAAGAGCAACTTTACCAGCAGGAACAGGAAATTACAGAAAGTGGTGAAATAAACTGCATAACAGAACAATGGAGAATCATGAAGACGCAGTGGGAAGTGCAGCAAAATAATATATTATATGACGTGTAAGTTTATTTTATAATCGTGCCAAATAGCAAGGCTCCATCCCACGTAAACTACTTGCAAATGCTGAATTCTAACCAATATATAGTGCCTCACAGCAGACGGCAAGGACATTGACTTTTTGCTCTGATCCTAGAAACATGATGGCAGGGAGTAGAGAGTAACTGGTCATGGAGGCAAGTAAACAGAAAACACACTCATACAGAACACTGACACATACAAAGCAAAGCCCACTGTCTTATGCAGATACGTCCCACTCCCATCTGTTCACCGCTATAATCATCACATGTACTTGTGACTGTATCATGATTTATGTGCAAAATTGAGATTAAACCCAAAATTAGATTATTCACAGCAAAAATGGCGCTCAAACATTGCTTTTTTCTACCTTACAGGCAGCAGTGCCGCAAAACGGGGTCATGTTTGGTTTGCATTTGCCCTACTGCATTTCAATGACTGGGTACATTGCTGTCACCAGCAGAGAAAACCCCCTGCTTCGGGAAATGCAAACGCATGCTGCTGGGATGCAAACACACACACAAACAGACACACACACGTCCATATAATAATACTCAGACACAATGCCACCAAAACACTGCACAGACAAACAGACAAGAACATACACACACAACACACAGTTGTTACTCCGGCATGGCAAAGAGTAGCACAATCAGACCCGCTTGGTACAATGGTGTTGTTTGAATGGGGTCAAACAATGGAGCTCTTTGGCATCTGAATCGAGCCAGATGATGAGTGTCCCAGGAGGCTGAATAGGCGGCTTCAGCCTCCTACACACTCGCTCTTCTGGCCCTGACAATATGCATCAGTGTGCCGCCTGTTACTGTGGACTAAAATATCCGTTATTAGCATGGAAGCAGCGACTCATTAGCATCCAGGCTAATTCTATGGTGTGAGCAAATTTGCATGTATGCAGCCACTTGCACAGATGCTACAATGGCCATAAAATACTAGAAAACTAGCATCAATTAGCATCAGACAACAGTTAACAACTTAAAGATTTAGGTGTACATTATTATTCAACTTTTTTGGATTGGCTTGGAGACTCATAAAAGCCCAACAACAAAATTCAGTCAAGTTAGTGTTTTGCAGAATCATAGAGAGAACTACAACTTAACTTGGAAATATTTTAAAAAGTAGAGTTTGACAACTCAGATCATGCATTTTTTGAAACCCTTCCCTGATTCAATAAAAAAAGCTATTGTATATGAGTTTGTCAGATTCACTGGTTTAGATAACAGGTAGGCTTAGTTGTGTCTTAAACTGACTCATATTTAAAAATGATCAATGTTCACAACAAGAAGCAGGTTATTTATGCTTCTTTTTTCACTTCAGGGCTGAAACTATCATTGAGGTCATTGAGTTCTTGTCCTGTTTTTTTAGCAACATGGGGGTTTAGTAAGTCAGATATAATTAGACATCTAAATTTGGTAGCTGTAAGCCAACAAAAAATAATTTAATTTAAATTCACAGACTATATAATTGAGCAGTAAATTGAATCATGAAAAAAAAAAAATCCCACTTTATTTTCATGAAGCGCTGCTACACTCAAACAAACCAAAAGAAATATTTTTAAAATGTGATTTCAAGCCAATGCGTAACACTTGCTGGTATAATAATATGTTAAACATATGTGTATCTCAGTATAAATAACTGCAAAATGTGAATATATGAAGAAACAGGCAATGAAACTGTAAAAAATAAATGCATGAATGAACGGTGGAAAATACACCCATCACACAACAGGATATTGCTGCTACACAAAAAGCCAATT